CAGTAGAGCCTATGAGATTTCATGGAATTCATCACGAACCTTGTTGCAGGACAGGTGATGAGCATGAAAGCATCTGTCTTACAGAACAATGCTTCCCAGCTTCTGTAATACTACTCAGCACCATGCTGAAATCACCTGTTCCAGAACAAATCCTGTCCTTTGACACAAAGGATTTAATGATCAGTTCAGTGGGATCTGGCCAAGGGAGGGAGTTGGGAAACACTTCAGGGGGTCAACACCAACTTCCCAGCAGGGGGGTGGAGAGTTTGTGCCCTGGAATTCCAGGGTTTCTTCTGTAACTGGTCAGCTCCTGTGGACAGTGCCTGCATTAAGCCTCCCACAACCATTGATCACATACATGTTTGTTTCATGCATCCATTAGTTTAATCACATAATCAGAGCTACCACATAATCAGGGGCCTTGAAAAAGCATAGTGCTCTATCCAAGTAATATTATTTGGGTATCAAAGCTATATTGACCATAGATGATCAGTTTCATTTTTTTGTTGTTTGCTTTTAAATGAAGAACTTATTCCCCAGATGAAGGCTTATAATGAAGCTCAGAATATAAAATACATGTATGTGGACCTGCTTCAACTGAAGTGAGGCAGAGGGGTAGGACGTCAAGGATCCCAAGGAACACTGTTTGAAAAGCACTGTGAGAAATACCAAAATGGTAAAAGAGATCAGAATTTTCTTGAAAAAAAAAAAAAAAACCCAATTGTTATGTAGCTTGACTATGATGGCGAATACACAAACCTACCTGTGGGATGAAACTGTATAGAACTAAATAGGCTCATACACAAACGAGGACATGTAAAACTCGTGAAATCTGAAGATCAGTGGATTGTATCAACGTCAATTTTCTGGTTGGGATATTGTGTTATAACTCCGTACAATGTTGCAACTGGGAAAACTGGCAGAAGGGTATACCAGGTCTCCCTGTTTTAATTTTTCCTACTGCATGTGGCTCTCCAATTATCTTTAAAAATTTTATCATAATTAAATAAATAAGTCCATGGCATGAATTTCTCATCCTGTCCTTTTCTTCCTTCTGAAATCATAGAACAGTTAAACAAAAACTAACCTGTGACTACCAGCTGAGATTCTTTGGTGTTCATATTGATGGATGTAGGCAGGTGTATCAGGAAGCCTTCAGCTATAAGTAACAGATAATGCCGGGGCACCTGGGTGGCTCAGTGGGTTAAAGCCTGTGCTGTCAGCTCAGGCCTGCTTCCTCCTCTCTCTCTGCCTGCTTCTCTGTGATCTCCGTCTGTCAAATAAATAAATAAAATCTTAAAAAAAAAAAATTCCTAAGTAACAGATAATGCTGACCCAACTGACTTAAGCAATAAGGAAAATGTGATGTGTTATATATTAAGTCTAGAGTAGGGTAGTCCCATGGTCACTCGGATTCAGTAGCTCGCCATCATCAGTCAAGGACACGTATTCTTTCTATCTCTCTACCCTACCATCTGCCACATGTTAATTTTGTCCTTAGATGAGCTTCATTAGCAAATAGCCCCTATCATACCAAACCATATCATTTTCTTAAGTTTCATGTTAAGAGTAAGGAAACATTTGTGGATCTTTCTACCACTCGCTTCACCCACTTATTTCTATTGAACAGGATCAAGTCACAAGCACTTCACTGCATGAATCACTGGCCAGGGGGATAATTTTACCTAGATGTAGTCCCTGGTGGTGGGAGATGTTTACATCTTAAAAAAAAAAAAAAAAAAAAAATCAGCACTCTACCAATGAGTAAGAGCCAGGGGTGGATGGGTGATAGATAGGCAACCCGTTACCACAGAGCCACAACGATGTGGGGTGAGTTATTTTAGAAGATTCCAGGCATTTTTCAATAGTACAGCCATTGAATCTCCTAGAAAATTTTGAGGCAAGCTCAGAAAGTGATGAAGATGAAGCAGGCACCTTCCAGCACCCAGAACAACTGGAAGGAACATACTTTTATAGTCAATTCCTGATTCCACACCAAGGAGAATGATGAGTCCAGCTTCCCATGCAAGTCTGGGGAACTCAGAACCGGGAGGAGAGCAAGGGAAAGAGGCTGCCATAGCAGAAACCCAGAGAATGAACCTCCTCCCAGGAGTTGGCAAGGCTGTCCTTGTTAAAGAGCCTGTTCTGGTTTAAAGGTGAGCAATTTTTTTGCTTTGTTTTGTTTAGCGTGGGTGAGGGTTGAGTTAAAGTAAGATAACGTATAAGGATTATTTTATCAAAATAAAACCATTTTAAAAGAGGAAATGCAATAGCTGCCTTTCAGATGATTGATTTCCCGGTCATTATTTATTTCCTTTTTTATTTACCCCAAATTTCTGACCAACAAGCATAGCACCTAATGCAGTATTTGTCATTGAGTCCTTGCTTAATTGTTGTGTAAGATAAGACTCCTTGAAACTGGAGGCAGGGTTTGAGGGACATGAAGACCAACCAGAGACAAGGATAGACTCTTACCTCTGGAGTTGGTGCCAGGAGACACTGGGAGGCAACAAGGAGTCAGTGTGTATATTTGAAGATATGCCCATATTTGGTGTGGTTGGAAGGGTACAAAATATGGGGCAAATGACTTTTACTGCCTCCCCCACTGCAATGTCAACCTCAAGGAGGCAGAGACTCCGACATCTTCCCCAGTGCCTTTCTGTATGCCCAATGCCTATCCCATAATACATGTAAATATTTATTTAATTAGTCAAAATTTTCCTTGTGTACTATCAAATTATAAAAGACCAGACGGGTGTATTCTTTCTGGACCATGGCCTCAAGAAGAAAGGAAGGAAGCTGAAGATAGCTGTTTCAGTCATTGTCGCTCATACCCTCTACATTTGTGGTCCTCTATCAGGACATCCACTTGCACCCCGTCCTGGAGCAGGAAATGGTGGGCAAGATGGACTCGCCCAGCTCAGGAAGAACTTAACCTTCTCCAACCAGGCTTTTGAGTAAGGAGTGGGAGTGGGAGACTAGTACTTACAGGGTCTAAATCTTAGCACTGGAATTAGAATTTAGTGCTATGTCAGCAGATCTGGAGGGCCTGGCATCCTGCAGGCCAAAGGCCGTTCTCCCCAAGTTCCGGGCAGTGGAAGTTGTGTGAGCTGAATAGTGAGCTCATCTAAACTTTGAAAGGATGGGAAAGACTGTTGTTCCTCTCCCCCTGCAGGAACTTTACAAATGACCTTGTCAAGCAGCCCCTCAAAATCTACAGAACCAAATTTTTCAGAATCCTCTTTATCCCTCTGCTTCTATTTTCTTTTTCTTCCTTTTTTTCCCTTCTACCTTTCTTTTCCCTCTTTCCCTTCCTCTGTTTATTCTTGTCACTCCCTGTTTCTCTCCCATTTCCCCAACTCTTCCTCCTCCTCCCCAGTAAAAGGGATAATTTGGAACTGAAAGTATATGTCACGATTTATTGAAAGCAGTTGTCTTTTTCATAGGATTCTCAGACCTTTCATAGAAAATGATTCTTCTACGGGGCGCCTGGGTGGCTCATGGGGTTAAAGCCTCTGCTTTCGGCTCCGGTCATGATCCCATTATCCTAGGATCAGCCCCACAGACTCCCTGCTCAGCGGGGAGCCTGCTTCCTCCTCTCTCTCTGCCTGCCTCTCTGCCTACTTATGATCTCTGTCAAATAAATAAATAAATAAATAAAAAGAAAAAGAAAGAAAATGATTCTTCTATCCCAAGGTGACTTTCAAAATAATTCCCTGGAGACTAAAGAATTATATGTAAATTTAGTACATTAAAAGGGAAAAAAAAATTAAATACTAACATTTAAGCATTCTGGCCTCTATTTTAAAATTATAAGTTTGACTTCATGCCATTCATATTAGAATTCCTGAAACTACAACCATCATCTATGGCTTGCAGGCTTCTTTTATCTACACAGACATTTCCTGTCCCATTTTCTCTTTCCCCAGAGACCCATAACGACTTACATATTGTTGATTTCAGGTTCTATGTGGGAGGGCAAGGAGAGAGAAGCCATTTTATTTTTTATTTATTTTTTTTTAAATAAGATTTTTTTTATTTATTTATTTGACAGATCATAAGTAGGCAGAGAGGCAGGCAGAGAGAGAGAGGAGGAATCAGGCTCCCTGCTGAGCAGAGAGCCCGATGCAGGACTCGATCCCAGGACCCTGAGATCATGACCTGAGCCAAAAGCAGAGGCTTTAACCCACTGAGCCACCCAGGCGCCCGAGAGAAGCCATTTTAGACAAACGTTTGAGGCGAGGTGGAGGACAGCACGACATGTCAACCCTCACATAAGCTGGCATCTTTACTCTTGCCTACCCAGGGCACTTGGGAATAAAAATATCTTCCCACTTGATTAATTTAAAATTAGTTTCTTGAATATGTTTTCCAGAACTCAGTGTGCCCACACACAATTGTGTATGCAACATTGGTGCACAACATCATAAGTTCTCAAAACCCAAGTCCCTAGATCTGGGGTCAACAAGGCCCACTAACCCTCCTACAGAGCCTCCCACGTGCTGTGCACCATGCAAATCTCTTCTCACGTATCGGTTCATCTCATCCTTCGACAGCCGTACAAGGGAGGTGTCTTAGTCGCCTCCGATGGCCATCACAGAATACCATGAACTGGTGGCTTAAGCAATAGACATTTATTTTCTCACAGTTGTAGAGATTAGAAGCCCAGCGATCAAGGGGCCAGCAGCAGGGTTGGTATCTGGAAAGAGCTCCCGTGTTGGGTGGCAGATGGGACTCCCTTCTTGCTGGCTACTTACGTGGCCTTTCCCCATGCTCCTGCGGAGGGACAAAGTGAGCAAGCACTCTGGTGTCTCTTCTTACAAGGATACCAATCTTACTGAATCACCCCCCCGCCCCCTTTAGGACCTCACTTAACCTTCATTACTGCTCTAGAGGCCTTGTGCCTAAATACTGCCACACTGGAGATTAGGACTTCAACATGAATTTGGGGAGAACACATTCAATCCATGACAGCACATAATGTTGTTCTCGTTTTTCAGGACAGGATGCAGAGATCTAGGCAGATCGAAGAGTTTGCCCAACATCACAGAGCTATTAAATGGCAACAATGGGATCTGAACTCCAGCATTATGCTCTTCAGCACCCTCCTGTGTGTGTCTCTTCAGCCGGTAGGAGTCCTAGTATCCCATCTAACAGCCCCAATCCCTGGCAGACAACATACACCAGTCCTAATATTATCAGAGTGTTGCTGTGCCTTTTTTAAATTGCTTTTCCTGCAGGGACACACTCTCTCACTATTACTATTATTATTTTATTAGATATACGTTTTTATATGATCAAATTTAAATTTTTTTTTTAAGATTTTATTTATTTATTTGACAGACAGAGATTACAAGTAGGCAGAGAGGCAGGCAGAGAGAGAGGAGGAAGCAGGCTCCCTCGCTGAGTAGAGAGCCCGATGTGGGGCTCGATCCCAGGACTCTGAGATCATGACCTGAGCCGAAGGCAGAGGCTTTAACACACTGAGCCACCCAGGCGCCCCTATATTATCAAATTTAGAGAAAAAATGTATAGTTACTACTCTTTTTTTTAAGATTTTAATTATTTATTAGACAGAGAGAGACAGATAGCAAGAGAGGAAACATAAGCAGTAGGAGTGGGAGAGGGAGAAGCAGGCTTCCCACTGAGCAGGGAGCCCGATGCCAGGCTCGATCCCAGGACCCTAGGATCATGACCAAAGGCAGACATTTAATGACTGAGCCACCCAGGTGCCCCTATAGTTACTACTCTTAAAATTCTTATACATCTTAGTTAATCATCTAGTGAAAACTTCTCTAAGTGTCTGTAGTCTGTATTTATATTCTAATGACTCTAAGTACAGCCAGTAGTGATATTTTAAAGGCTCTATTATTTTTTCTAGGACATAAAACTTTTCAATCCAAATTTCTACTCAGAAAACTGGGGCATTGTAATTTGGTGAGGCGGCTTATAGAATTCTTACCAGTCAATGAAGAAAATATTTATACCAACTTACAGACTGCATGATGTTCAGATCAAATATGTACTAAATAAATGTGATGACCGGATTGGCAACAATTCTAGGATTTTCAGTGGAAGTATTTGGGGGTAGGGAAGGTGGAGAGGAATGATGCATTGGATAAGAGCAAAGATTCTGGAATCTGGTCATCTGGGTCTGAAATCCTAACTCTGCTGTGTCCTGGAGCAAGTCACTGACAACTCCTTATTAGTAAAATGAAGCCAGTGGTAGCTTTTATGTTACATAAGTATGCATGAGAGAATTCTTAAGTGTAAATTAAATAGTGCCTGGCTCACTAAAAATTAAAATTTTTCCTGCTTTATAGAAACATAATTGATATATACCATTATATAAGTTTAAAGTATACAATATAATGATAGATATAGATATAATGTGTATATGATTACCACAAGGTTAGTTAACATATCCCTGACATAGTTACAATTTTGTATGTGAGAACTTTAAAAATCTACCCTCTTAGCGACTATCAAATATCCAATACAGTATTGTTAACTATAGTCACCATGCTATACAATACATTCCTAGAACTTATTCATCTTAAAACTGGAATTTTATACCCTATGACCACTTTCTTCCATTTCCCCTGTCCCCCAACCCCCCATCCCTGGCAACCACCAATCAAGTCTCTGTTTCTGCGTCTGTTTTTTAGACTCCACATATAAGTGAGCTTGTGCAGTATCTGTCTTTCTCTGTCTGACTTATTTCACGTTGCATAATGCCCTCAAAAACTGAATCTTTTAAAATTGTAAACTTCTAAAGAGTACATTTTATATTTCTAAAAAATTTTCTAAAAATCCCCAACAGGAAGGGACGCAATGAGTGTTAAATGAAAGAACAGTAAATGTCTTGAGAGGTCAATGTCCCACCGTGGCCCATTCTCAGTATTATTAGTTTCACCAGGAAATAGGGGGAGCTCTGTCTTGATGTGAAACAGGACCTCATACAGGCAAGAGCATTGCTAGACCACAGGCCTTGCTCTTAAACCACAGCTCCACACCCCAGCCTGACGTGAGACTGGGGCGGAGCTCTTGCTTCATTCCCAGGATCAACAGGTTCTCACCTTTGCAGTTCTTGTGATTTTTTTTATACAAATGTGCATGTATGTTCAGTCTTTCTTAGTGATTACATTATGACATGGAATATTTCTCTTCAGAATCTATTTAAAACTAGGTATTTCAGCTGTTGGAGTGAATTAAAATTATTAAGTACTACAGAAAATATATTTTGGTCAGCTGAGCCTAATTTTAGACTGTGAACACAGACACCCATCGGCACAACTACCACCCCCACAGACACTGTAGCATCTGCTTGCCTCTACTGATGTGACTGGGAAATTTGTGACTTGGAGAGGGGACCCAAGTGTAGTTTGCTGAGATGGCTGAGAACCAGAGGTAGGAGGGATGGTACAGATTCTCTTCCCACCTAGCTTTTTGGACTTGGTTTGAAGCATCAGCGGTTTGAAGTGAGGGCCAGGAAGTGGGGGCACTATTCAGAAGAAACCTTTCTGACTCTCAGTCCAAAACATCATCGCTTCAGATCACAGCACAGAGCTGGGAAGCAAGAAGACATGTTCTCTGCTTGTTTGTGGAACGTCGTCACTCTGCTCTGACAAGCTGAGGGCTGCTGGGCTTGGCAGCACTGGGAGAGACCGTGGACTTGGCACCGGCAGCATTGCTTTCATGATGGGCAGCTCCAGCGCCAACTCTTTCCAAATGACCCTGCGGGAAGCAGACCAGAAGGAGCCAGAGCAGGAGGGAGAGGACCAGGTGGATCTGCGTGGTTGCAGCAGCTGGTGTGTAAGCACGAATGACACATCCTGTTGGGGACGCCCTGAAATAGCTGGAGGACCCTGAGGTCAAGCTAAGATCCTGTCATTACCTTTGTAATTTGGACATCAAAAGGACATGTAGCCTGGTTTTACATAGTCTGGGAGAACTGGACATGCTGTCACTAAACTATAATTGCAGTTAATGGGCTGCTTTATAAGTAACCTAATTTCACAGAGTAATTGGTGCTTACAATAAAATAAGGAGATTATAGCCATTGCCAAAAACGCCTATGAATTGGAAAGATTAATACACAGGCAAAAATTTTGAATGAAGTTATGCAGAAAGAGAAAAATACAGAGCTTGGAAAGAATGAGACTTGCTTCATGGATAGCTTATACCATGAGTTCCAGCATTTCTTTACAAGAAGAGCTTAGGAGTAGAAATGTGGATGAAAGATGGATGGATGACTCTCTTGGCATTGGCATGTCACTCTACTTTGTTTTAGATGTATTTTTCTTTTCAAAATTTTTTTAATTTAAATTCAATTTAGTTAACGTATAGTATATTATTAGTTTCAGGGGTAGAATTTAACGATTCATCAGTTGCATATAACACCCAATGCTCATTACATCACATGTCCTCCTTAATGCCCATCACCCAGTTACCCCATCCCCCTGCCCACCTCCCCTCCAGCAGCCCTCAGTTGGTCTCCTATAGTTAAGAGTCTCCTATGGTTTGCCTCCCTCTCTGTTTGTTTTTTTGTTTTTGTTTTTAAGATTTTATTTATTTATGTGACAGAGAGAGCGAGAGAGGGAACAAAAGCAGGGAGAGGGGTGAAGCAGGCTTCCCACTGAGCAGGGAGCCTGATGTGGGGCTCTGTCTCAGGACCCTGGGATCATGATCAGAGCCAAAGGCAGACACCTAATGACTGAGCCACCCAGGCAACCTCCCTCTCTGTTTTTATCTTATTTCATTTTTGCTTCCCTTCCCCTGTGTTCATCTGCTTTATTTCTTCAATTCCACATATGAGTAAAATCATATGATATTTGTCTTTTTCTGACTGACTTATTTCACTTAGCATAATATCCTCTAGTTCCATCCACATTGTTGCAAATGGCAAGATTTTATTCTTTTTCGTGGCTGAGTAATATTCCATTATATATACACACTTCTTTATCCATTCATCTGTTGATGGACATCTGGGCTCCTTCCATATTTTTGCTGTTGTGGACATTGCATGCCACTCTACTTAAGACCAAGAAAATGTCAGGGCACCTGGGTGGCTCAGTTGTTAAGCATCTGCCTTCGGCTCAGGTCATGATCCCAGGGTCCTGGGATTGAGCCCCACATCAGGGTCCCTGCTCAGCGGAAAGCATGCTTCTCCCTCACTCTCTTCCCCTGCTTGTGTTACTTCTCTTGTTGTCTCTCTCTGTCAAATAAATTTTTTTTTAAATTTTAAATAGAAAAAAAAAAAGACCGAGAAAATATCAGTTGTTTTCATCAGAGGATGGGGTGTTAATGGACATGCTAACCCCAGGGTATCCTTAGGTTTTTAACCACTTCCACACTAGACTTGTCAACTACCATTGACTTCCTTTCCTCCCAATGAGAGCCACATGGGGTGCAGACAATGGGTCCAGGACTGGGAGAGGCATAGCCGTGGCACTAGAAGACACCTCACACAATCTCTGCCCACTTCCAGTTGACATCCCACTGTGGATTCCAGTGAGAAACACCTTCTAGCAAACTCTATTGTTAGATCAGTTTCCCTAAGAACAGGAACTGGGAAGCCCTGAGGGGCAGACCATCTTACCGTCCCATTCTGTCTGCCCATTTCCCTCCAAGCAATGAAGATTTCTCTACTCATCCTTTACTTTTCAGCTGGTAAGTCACTTTCTCAGGGAAACCTCCTCTGACTAGGTTAGGCTTTTCATCACCCTTTTTACTTCTTCATAATTAACTAATACTGACATAGTTGTGTATTTAATTACTGCAGATAATGTGGGCAAGGATCAGGCCCATATTATTCACTGATGAGCCCTCAGTTCCTGGCACACAGTAAAATATAAAATATCTGTTGCATGAGCAAATGCTGGTATCACCTGAGAGCTCTCCCTACATGGCTTAAGGCTTCGGCTAAGGCATTGGGTGTTTTGTATCCTACTCTGAATATTTTAAAATTGTTTTTAATATTATATAAGCAATATGTGAGTATGTGTTCATCGTAAAAAAAAATCAAAGAACACATACACATACATATGGAAGTCATGGTCTTGTATATGTGAATTAGGCCACAAAAAGCTATTTTTAGAAAGCTCCAATTTTCCTTCACAATTCCACACCATCCCAGTCCTATTTCTTTTCCCAGGCATAAAACCAATTCCAAATCCTCTTCTGTGGGCTTTCATACATATATGCGTCTTTATACAGGTAAATTCATACACATTTTCACATTTCCATGCATATATGT